CACTACAGCAACAGCAACAGCAATGACAGCAAGAGCAGCAGAAGCAGCCGCAGCAGCAGAAGCAACAGCAGCATTAACATTAACAAAGCTGTGACTACTAAGGTCAGGCTGCTGTTGCCATGTAATCCCCAAAACGCACATCAATCAAGCGGCTGTGGCTTTAGCTTATTAGCAAGCATTGAACCTACAAAATATCAGTCAGCCAGTTACCGACTGGCGGTTGGAGGAAAACCAAATAAGTTTTAAGCCTCCGTTACAACAGCAACTGAATTTTTCCACTTCAACAAATTTCTGACATTGACATTGACCAGTTGGCTGCTGGCTGGCAGTCAGCATCCAAATCGACAACAACGTCAAAATATTTGGAGAGACGCAAAGTCTGCTGGTCAGACCAGACCAGACCAGGGCAGGCAGCCAGTCAGCCAACTCAGCTTGGTTCAGTGCAGGCCAGGCCAGCTCTTTGTTTTGTACAAATGACCATTGAAGGTCATAGCAGCCAACAACAAATTGGTTAAATAATACTCACAGTACACACACAATCACACACACTTGTACACAAATGTTAAGCAGATGCGCGTCTGCGACTGAATTCGGGTTTTTGGTAGCTTGACGTTTGCGATCAGTCCAAAAACATATGAAGATCATTGTAATTTCAATGGCACTTCAGTCTGGGGGCAACCACCACAGCTGAACCGAACTCTGCGTTTGGCTAGAAAAATGAGTGCAGCAATTGTTGCTGTGGTGCTGTGGGCACTCAACTGGGCAATGACACTTTAAGTGATCCACCAAAGTGGTCAAGCGAGCCACACGTGCAGCTCTACCATGATGCAAAGACGTAGACATATAATATGATCGACTGGGACGCTATTAGGATTTGCTCTGAGTTGGGTCTGCACTTTGAGGGATTTATGTCACAAGCTAAGATATTCTAAATTAATTGAATGGATAGGTATAAAAGTATGTGAATTGCGGATTAATTAAAATATTATACCTAAGTATATTCGTAGCTAGTTAAAAGGAGCGCGGTATGAGACGAATCGTATTTAGGGAATAATTCTGATTGATAAAGCCAAATGGAAAATAACTCGATGAATATATCAATAACTAGATATATCCCCTAGCGGAAAATGTCGAATCAAAAACAATATTAATAAGTTTTCATATATATCAAGGGCCGTGCCCTATCTTTTGGCTGAGTATACGTAGAAAGGAAATATAAACTCTCAATCTAATGTGGATTCTTTCTCTCGAGTGAAAAATCTTACTTATTGATAATCTTTTAGCTTAGAAGGTGGTAAAAAAGTCTTTCAAATCGAAGTGACTGAACCCAACATGAGAAACTGTCATTGCCTTTAACAAGAACTTACACAATCGGCAACCACTTGCAGCTCAAACTCTCTTTGCCAATAAAAATGAAAAGCAAAAACTCATGTCCGTGCGTATCATTTTGTTGAATTTAAACTTTTCTCTTGTTTGTTTTTAAAGCATTGAACTAAATGTGTCAAAAGTGAAGATTGTATAAATCAAATATTGTTGGATTTGAGTTTGCGCATTTAAGGCTGCAAAGACTTTCAAGCGGATACTACAGCAGCATTGACTACTTTGTGTCACTTGGGCCTGACATTTGGCGAGGCAGCCACAAAAAAGAAGCCCAGCCATATGTCAGGCCAAAAAGAAAGTCGGTGTCCAGCTCAAAGCTGCCATGTGACGGAGCGTACGATCCGTGCAGCGGCAGCAACAGTCGAGTCGCGTCCAGTCCCAGCAAATTGGCGCAATTTTTGTGGCAATGGTTTTTTGTTGCAGCTGATTTGCTTGTCGGAAAATATCAACGCATTGTCAGCCATGCTGGAATGAGCCAAACGCTGTTGACAACACGCCAGGCACAGGTTTAGACACCGGCTCAGTTTGGGGCGAGGGTGAGGCAATTGCGCGCACGGCAGCAACATGCAACTGGCAACTGGCAACAGGCAACAGGCAACAGGCAACTGCAACTGTAACTGTAACTAACTCGAGCAGCATGAGTAGCTGACAATATTTGACAGCAGCTTAATTGCTGTCTGCAATTATGATTGCTGTTGGTGAAATTGTAGAAGCTGCTCAGAGACCGTCGAACAGTTGGGCAGTTGGAGAGTTGCTTCACTTTCATTTGATTTGTGGCAATGACAGCGCTGTAACATGTTGCTGCTGATTGTTGATTGTTGACTGTTCACTGTTGATTTTTTTTTGTGTCTTTGTTTTTTGGCTTCATTTGGCGCATGGCTGCGATTTCTGGTTTATTGTCTGCATTGGGAGACGGCAGCAACTCCTGGTTGACAAAAATAGTAACGTGCACAACGCTGGCACTGCCTTTTATTGCCATTTGTTTGCCATTTGCCGTTTGCCTTAGCCGTTTGCCGTTTGCTGTTGACGTTGACAAAAAAACGTCATTTGCAAATTGGGCAAAGACAACTTTCTCTAGGCAGCTGCGCAGACGCAGTTGCAGGCGCAAATTACCCAGCTCCAGCTTTAGCTAAAGCCGTTGCATAAAGTTATAGACTCGCAGATAAGTTAAAGGCAAAACCGTCGCCCACATTCATTAACAGCATTCGCATAATTGGCTGATATTTCGTGGGTTCACTGAACCGCCCGTCTCAAGCTGAGACAATCCCTAGGAGGTGCCCCTCCCCCAACTTTGGCTGAGTTGCTGACTTTTACGTCTCAATTTCAGATTGCCGCATTGTCAATATCTATAATTAAAATCGTTTGAGAACACACGCAAGCCTTGTTATTGCTGTTGTCGACGGCTTATCAGATTTTGTTGAATGGCTAAAAACGTTAGACGTTGAAGGCTTGATTGAGCTGATGACTCGTCGGCCGCGTCAATTATGATCGGTTGGTGCCGTAGTTAAATTATGGATTATGTATATATGTTTGTAGCCAAAATGCAACACAAACGCTAATTGATGCAGGAAGCGCGAAGCAAAACGAGTTGCCGAACGCTTGTCATATTGCATCTGTTTCAAAGGCAGCCCACCAGATTTGCTGCACGCTTCGCTGGCGCGTCCAAAATGGGTCAGGCAACCATACAACGTAGACAACAACAGCGCCGCCATCGCCGCCTCCACAAACGCATTTCATAACTAGGCAAATTAAGCCTAAGGCCACGACTACAACAAGCGTCTTACCGGAGTCTTAAGAGTAACGGCAATTTGGAGCTAAAGTGCTGCACTATTTGTCATAATAAACGCGCCGCACAAATGTTGCCTCGCGGGGTGGCAACGGCGGGGGCAGCAGCAGCAAAAGAAAGCGACTGACTGCCCCGTGTGGGCAGCACTGTGACACATTTTGTCATCATTAGCCACAGTTGCCGGCTAATAATTTCAATTTAGCCAAAAAATTAGCTGCATTCAGCTGAATTATGGAAAAAAGGCGTTTAAATCTAGCTAGTACAGGCCAGGGCCAAAGTCACAGCCAGAGCCAGAGCCAAAGCTGGAGCCATAAGCCGACAGCCCACGCCAGCTAAGCAACAGCAACAACAACACAAGCAACGCATGTAACGCCTCTCAGGGCGTGGCTGGTCGCCCGATGGGTGTTGAGGTGATGACACTGATTATAAAATGTGCATAGATAGCGTGCCGCCTAATGGCTGCCATTGACCAAAAAGAAATGTAAGGCGAATCCCATGTGAGTACAACCAGAAAACGCTAGAAAGACGCGCGCGCCTTTAAAGTGCGTTTTTCACGTGCTTGATATTAAAACGAATGTGAGCAGTTCACAAATAAAAACAATTGTTAATTAATAAGTGGGTTAGCTAAAATTTATAATCGCTTATGATTTCTTACAAAAAAACTTAAAAGTCGCGAGCGACTGTGCAGCCATTTATATTTGCTGCGCATAAGCACAGCCGGCAAGCAAGCTGGCGAGTTGAATTAAAACAATTAGACAGTTAATGCAATGTTTTGAAAATAAGCATGCATGCCATTTAAAAATTATCAATTAGGTGACACCCATTTCTGACTCAAAAATAACTAGATCCGAGGCTGGCGAACAAGTTCAGTTTATGGGAAATTCATAAAACTCAATACGTGCTAGTGAATTTGGTCTAGATATAAATGCAATCCCCATCTTACAGATAGTTTCCACGAATATAGACAATCAGGTCAGTTTAATGCTATTTCAATTAAAATGCAGGCGTCGTTTTGGGTTAACTAGTGGAACCGTTAGTTAATGCTCGCAACATACGAGAAACGCGCGCGGCTTGGGCGCGTTTTTGCCATATCTTCGCTCGAAGAGCGCGTCGAACTGCGCAGAACCATAAACGCAATGCTAATGAACAACGCGTGCGTGCGCTGCTTCCGCTGTGGGCAAAGAAGCAACTTGGCTGCGGACAAATTTCATGCGAAACAGTTATAAAAATAACTAAAGTTTCGGCCGGCCATTGACGTTGCCGCTGACTTTGGCGCTGACGTTGACGCTGTGTCTGGAGTTGACGCTGACGGTGATGTGTCTCTGAGTGTGTAATATTGCGCTTTCCGGTACAGAAACATAAAATTTTATGTACACGACGCTGACAACGCTAGCGCTAACGACAACGACAACCACAGCACCGAGTATCAACAAAAACCAAAAGCGGAGCGTGCAACGCGTCGTATGCGTTACACATTACGAATACACTGCCGCTGCTGCTGCTGCTGCTGCTGCGCCCCAGCTGTGTTTGCTTTAACACATTTTTCTGTCACGCAAAATAATCATTTGCAAAATCACGCACTGTTGACAGACCAGAGAGGGGACAGTTAGCCGGGGGCTGGGCAGGAGCAGACAGGAAGGGGACCGGCAAGTAAAATGTGTGTGGCGACAGCAACTGTCGCTTATCATTATGTGAAAATTTATGAAATTGAATATTTTCAGTCAGCAACAAGTGGAACGAGCCTAAAAATGGCCTGAATTCAATTCAAGACTGGTGCAACATGGAAACGAACATTCGTTGAAGTTCACAGCTAATTGAAAAGCCCAGCACTTACCTTTACACGCTCCAAGTAGTCCTGGAGTGCAACATATGGATCCTCGCCGTCGTCATCTATCAGGTCGAGGCTATGGGCCAAGTCCAGATTGTCTAGTGCGGCCAATTTGAGTTCGGCCTTATCGGCAAATTGCAGCTTATGATGTTGCTGTGCTGCAGCTGCAGCCGACGCTGAAGTGTTGGCGGCGGGTGAAGCACGGCTTAAGAATTTCTTATCAGCTGTCATGGCGTTGGCTGCCGCTGCTCCTGCAGCATTGCTTCCGTATTGGCGAGTGCGCGGCATAGTTGCACAACCGGTGCTAAAAACGCTTGCAGCTGGCGCAGGAGTGGCAGATGAAGTTGCAGTGGCTGTGGATGTGGCTCTGACTGTATCATCAACGTCCTCGTCGGCCGCTACATCACTTAATCCCGATTTGTAGCGCGTCGTGTCAGTTGCGATAGTCGCACTGGAGACTGACGTGTTGGCTGCTGCTGCTGCTGTTGCCGGCGGCGTTGTGTTGCCGTTGATAAGCGTTTGATGTTGTTGCTGTTGCTGTTGCTGCTGACTGCTGCTGGTGCTGATGGTGGTGGTGGTTGTGAGGCTGCCACTGCTAATTGCACTTTTCACATCGCTTGTCATGTTGTTTTGATTTGTATTGCACTGAATTTTACTAAATTTCTTGCCGCTGTCATGTTGCCGCGCCGCGTTGGCTCCAATTTGTTGTTGCTCTGCAAAGGTAGAGGAAGAGGAAGAGAACTAGTGAGACAGTGTTTAATTTTAGCGATAATTCTTCAGCGAGTCATATAAAGTTGTCACTGCTGCCAGGCCATGCACAAACACACACACACACACACACACACACAGCCATACAAATTTGCTGCAATTATTGTTGCCGCAACATGTTGATCATATTTTGCAGCAACACTTCGCTGAAATGGCGCGCCCAAAAGACACATTTTCATAATCTTTTTTACAGCAAATGAAAAATTGCGCCAAAAAGCGCCAACTCTTGGCTGCCACATGTGGCAAGCATCGGCGTGCCACTGTGCCGCTTAAGCCAAATCCGTGAAAATTTCTGCGCTAATCGCCTCAAATTGTGCGCCGAATGTGCGCCATTTAAATTGTCATAAATTTTCGAAACATGCCCAGCACATGTGTGGATTTAAGTTTTTCCAATTTCTGCCTTTTGTGTGCTTAAACGTATGTGTGTTGGTATTTGTGTGTGTGTAAATGTTTTAATTAATTTCTGGATGGCGAGCAAATGGCAAGCAATTATTTACATATTTGATAATATTGCTCACACCATTCAGAGCTTATCCATGCTCTCAATTATTCACAATATTTATTTTGCGCGCTGTTTGCTTAACTCGTTGCCGCACCCAGCAACAATAATAATTACAACAACAACAACTGTGCCAATGGATTTATTTCATGTCGGATATAGTTCTTACGGCCCAGAAGTGAAATACGAGTCTGTCAGCTATTAAATGAATACGAGTCACCTTCATACTTATAGAGTTTTGAATACGATATTTATGCAGATTGCAATAGGAATTTATTAAAACAATTTTATCACAAACAAATAAAATTTATCAAAAAAATCTTAAATAATTGTATTAATTGAATAAGAAACAAAAAGTGCATTCCTCACAGAATGGGTTTGGCTTGAAAACTGTGAACAAATAGGTCTAGCATTAGATGATTTACAATTGAAAATTTAATTTGCATACGACAAAATTTTGTTCAATAAAAAACGATTAAAACTCAGCTTTTATATATCGCACATTTTGAAAAAAAAGTTTAACTGATCCTGAAACTCTGACCATACAAAATTTGACCTTCATTTTCCGTCCAAGAGGGACAGGTTTTCGAAAATAATACGAAGCAGGTCTCAAATAAATTTCGGCCACCAAATCTTTTACCCCTTTTTCCACAAAGAAGGAATGAATTTTCTGAAAATTACTTTAAGGAAAGAATGCAAGAATGAGTCTGAGGCCAACGGAAACTGTTTCCCTAATTTTTTATGGTGAAATTTTCCAAAGCGCCGCTGGGCACCTTCATCATTTAAGGTCACTAGAGAACAAATTTTAGCCCATTAGCGAATCTTATAAACATATAGATGGATATACTTTTTGAATTACGAATAGTCAATATCCATTTCTGTTGTTTTCCGTATATCTGGTGCAAAGGTTCTGACTACATGTAACCTCCCAAAGATATAGATATTGTGGTAAATGTACACTCATTTTTCGCAATACTTCTCGGCACATTTGCGCTATGTACAGCCCACATGGAAATGCAAATAGGCGAAGGTATCGCCATAAATCGCATTAAAATTCGCATAGGGGCAAAGCCTCTGAAGATCAAATGAACTTTTTGTTGCTGTCCGTCAGTCGCTGTTGTCGCCAGCCCCCAATCGAGCGCATAAAGAGAACCCAGGAGGCGACCGGCCGGAATGTGTGTACTTCTGTGTGTGTGTGTGTGTGTGTAAGTGAAACGGTTAAGTATTTTTGTTGTTGATTTGATAGGTTTGATTTTATTTTTGTTTTTATTGCGCATGCGTGCGTTCGATTGGGTTTCTTGATTAAAATGTCGCCGCCACCGTCGCGACTTGGCGACAACAACAGCAACCGGCAGGCTCAATCTGTGGCTTGGCTGGGGTCTTGGCTGCTGTTGCTGCTGCCGCTGCTGCTGGTCAGCGTTTGGCATTTAAAAATTCTGAATCGCATGCGTTACACAACGACAACGACCCGTGGCGAGCTCGTAAATCAGCGGCGCAAACGAGTCAGTCAGGCAGGCAGGCAGCGAAGACAGCGACAGTTTGGCTACATTTTATGGGGGTCTGGGTCTGGTTGGAGTCAGCTGGAAAGCGTCCACCAATTGATCGTCTTGTGGCGATTGGCAGGCCGCCAGCCAAGCGAACCCAGGCCGGGCCAGACCAGGCCGGGCCAGAGCAGGCCCACACTGGGCTGCAGTTTTCTTCTGCCTTTTTGGCAATATTTCAATTGTGCAACGCTAACGGTACATTTGGCAATTGGCTGCCATGTGGCATGTGTGATTGTGTGTGGGAGGCGCGTTGAAAGTTCATGGGAGGTCTTCCCAGTCACAGTCACAGTCCCAGTCACAATCACAATCGAGCCCTCCAACTTGGCGACATGTGTGCGCAGCTAGCCATTTTCTGGCTGCCTGTGCGGCATTTAATTAGCACAACTCAACGGACGGAAATAACTCTCTCTGCCTTTGTTCTACATGATGGTGGACGATAAGCAATTTTTTAGACTTTGTGCCTCTACAAATATACTATATATAAATACACACACACATATACAAAGGTATATAGGCAAACAAAAGACAACGCGAGAAAATGAAATATATTTGTACTTATTTGCTTATTGACTTAAAATAAAATTGTTTGCTGGGTGTGTCCCGCTAAATGGCCACTGTCCGTCAGACATTGTTCGTGGATGGGCGTGTGGTTGACTGTGTTGTTGTTTTTATTGTTTTTATTGTTGTTGTTGTTGCTGTTATTGTTGTTGATTGATTCTGTGACTGAGGTCACTTGAACGTGATTAATTGCTCATTGCGCGCGCACCGGGGCGAGAGGTGACACAGGCATTGCGCCTAATTGAAAGCAAAGCGAGGGTCTGTCGAGAGTATGTTGAGTGCTAAGATGACTCAAACAAATGCAGCTAATGGAGGCCTACCTCAATGCACTTAACAACAACAACTCTGCGCTGAACACAGCTGTTAAGTTGGGTATAGAGAGTAGCAGTGCGAAAACAAAAAGCAAATAAATAAAGAAATAAAGTAAATAAACGTGTGCACAGCAGCAGCTGCCAGCAGCTCGGCAAATCCAATGAAAATCGGGCCAAGAGCAAGGCGAGGAGGATCCAATGGGCAGGCTGTCCATTACGATGATGATTACCAATGCTTGAGCGGTTGTAAATGAAAGCCGCTCATTCTGTGAAGCTGATGTGCGTTTGCTTAGGACAACGCCGTCGTCATTGCGATGATTAACAGATTGGCGCCTTAAGCCGTCACACGTCAGCTGGGCTAAGGGCAAGAACTCAGCTTAACTTGGCTGGAGACCAGGCCGGCTTTCAAGCCTCATTTGCCTATCAAAATGATATAATATGCGTTCGTGACGTCGATCATGTTGTACGTGTTTCCTGTGTATTTGCAAAACTGGCAACTGGCAACTGGCTGCTGGCAGCGGGTGGCAGTTCGCAGTTGGCAATTGGCTATGGGGCGTGTCACAAGCCAAACGAAGTGCACTTTACAATTGGTGACAAAGCAAAATGCAAGGAGTGTTTTTTTTTGATATCTTTTTTTTTTTTTGGGGGGAAAACGCAAGTGCGTCGAGCAACTGCACCCAGCTAGGAGATAATAATTTTTTATGCAACTCTCTTGAATGGCAGCGGCGCATTTACGACATTTCCAATTGCCGCACAAATGCAGACGCACTAATAATAAAAAAATTTTTCTTTTATTATTAATCACAATTTCAAGTGACTTTTTTCATGAAAAGTATTTATGCGGCTTTAAGTGGCTTTTTATTAAACATTGCAGCATTTAATTGACTTGTAATAGAGTCGACTGTGTGTTTGTGTGTGTGTGTGCATGAGTGTGTGTATGCATGCCTGTGTTATGCAAAAGGTGTGTCGATGTGAGTGTGTCAGGCTAACGGAAATCCAAAGCTCAACGTCATGCATAATTCATGATAAAATTGCAGTCAATTTCTTTTGATTTTTAATGTAAATAAAAGGCAAATAAATGCTTAGGAAATTTTCTGTACACGCCCTTACCAAGTGGCTGGCATTATAAATTGATCATTTCAAGCATTTAGTATTTATATTATTGCTAAAATTTCCAGAAATTGTTAAACGTGGCCTTAGTCAGCGACTAACAACGCATTGTCACTAAATTGCCTTTAATTGATCGCATTTAGCATTTTAAGTAATTGGCCTGTCAGTGATTCAGATGCTTAAGATTCGGTATCTGATCTTTAGTTTAGATGATATGGAACGCTTTTTGTGCTTTGTGGCAGTCTGTGCTCAATAACAGGAAATGACTGGACAATGAGCTGACCGACCTTCAGTGTGTTGCCCCTAGGGATGCATGACCAGTCCGTCAGACAGTCAGACAGAGGCGCGAGCTTTGCGGTCTGCAGCTAGTCATGATTCTTATTCCCTTATGACACTCGACTGCACAAATCAATTAATAACTTATTGTTAGCTATTAACTAGCCTAATGACTGTGTGCTCAGCCAGTGACCGCTTTTCCCACAGCAACAACATTTCCGCCCAGGCACTGGCGACAACACAACTTAGTTGCCAAAGCTGATTAAGCGAGAGCGAAAAAAAAAAGAAAAACTTACCATTTCCTGCCGCAAAGGCGGCGATGCGCTCCCTAACCGAACGTCTGGGCTCGTCGTTGCCGTTGTGGTTGTTGTTGTTGTTGTTGCTGCTGCTGTTGATGTTGGTGTTGCAGCTGTTCGGTTGCAGCATATGCGTCGCAGTTGCCTGCGTTGAGTCATGGCTAGGACTACGCTTCACCATTGTCGTTTTGATCACAGTCTTAAGGCGGCTGGGCGTGGTCGGACGTGCTGCTATGCTGGGCTTAGGTGTTGTTGTTGGCGGCAACGTTGCTGTCGCTGTCAATGTTGCTTTATCGTTGCACAGCACTTCTGTGGCAGCACCCACAAACTCTTCTGCTGTTGTTGTCGCTGTTGCTGTTGCCGTTGCTGTTGCTGATGTTGGCAGTGTCAACCCACACTCGCTGGCTGTGGCCGTTGCTGCCACGTTCGTTGTTGTTGCTGCTGTCGTAATTGTCATTTTATTCTGCGACGACTTCGGTGAATCAATTTTCGAGTTTTTGTTTTTGTTGTTCGTTTGGGGCACGGCGTCGTCGGGTAATTTACAATAATTACAGCACGGCTTATTGTAGTTGTTGCTTTTGTTGCTTAGTGTATTTTCCTTATTGCTATGTTGCAGTTGTTGTTGCTGCTGTTGCAAGCTATTGCTAAGTCTTTGGATTGGTTGTTGCTGTTGCTGTTTCTCTTGCTGCTGCGGCTGCTGCTGCTGTTGTTGTTGTTGTTGTTGCTGCTGCTGCTGCTCATTGCCACTCTGCTGGCCGTTTGTGACAGCGCAAGTTTTACTATGAATTGCTGTTGCTGCTGCTAGTTCACTGCTACGCTTGTTGTTGCTGCTGATGTTGCCTTTGTAGTCCTGCCGCCATTGTTCAGGCACATTTCGTTGATTCATTAATATCAACGCCACATTTCCGTCGTGGTCGTTGTTGCTTTTGTTGCCAGAGATCTCAGCGATATCATTTGCTTCATCATCATAATCATTGCAATCGTAATCACTGTCGCAATCTTGGCGTCGCTTGCTGCTACTGCTACTGCTGTTGCTGTTGTGGCTGGCGCGTGGCACATCATCAATATATGTAAAATCGTTATCGACGAATATATTTCTAGCGTGCAGCGTGTTGGCTGACGACTTGAACTTGGGCTGCTTCAGAGTGTAGCGCCTGCGCTGCGGGCAACAACAGAACTTGATGATGGTGCGCGGCGAAGTTGGCGATAGCCCTGGCAGAGTCGGCGTCGGCGGCGTTGCAATGTCAGCCCATTTCTCGATCAATGCCAGCTCGCGAGCATTGGACATTGTAGTATAGCCATGGAGTGTGATTCTGCAAAACAGACAGAAGAGGAAAAATTCAATTAATTGCATATGCCAGAGAGAGGCAGAGAGAGAGAGAGAGGAGAGCGGGATGCACCAAAAATCAATTAACCACATTTCTCAACGCATCTCAGCTTTTCACCAGAGTTTCCTCATTCCTGCGCCGGCGCTCTCTGCCTTTGCTGAAAGCCAATTCGATGCGCACATCAGCCGGTCACAGCAGCGCCATCTGTGTGTCATGAACGTCTAGACGACAGCAGCAGCAACTGTTGCTGTTGGTGGCAGCGGCAATGCCAACATGTTTTAATTGCAAACTGCTTTTTGCGCAACACTTTCGAATGCGGCTTAGAAGTGACCGCCAAAAATGGTACCAGCCGCCAGCCGGCAGTTGGCAGTCAGCAGTCGCGAATCGGCGGCAGGCAGCAGCCAGGCCACATGTCGATGCATGATTAACTGCCGCGTTAAACTGCCAGTGGCGGCGGCCTGCATCCATTTAATTGCATTCGCTGCGCTGCAGAGTCAGGAGCAGCAGCAAACTATTTTCCCGCAGGGCAGCCAGCAGCAGGCAGCAGGTAGCAGTGGCAGTGGCAGTGGGCAATGTCGTCGCCCACTGGCCGCCACGCCTGTTGCTGGGTTCGAAACTTGACTAGCTCAACTACCCTTGGGGTTGACGTTGACCTTTTGTGCCGGCCTAAAAGCTTTTGTGAAAGTGCCGCTCTGAAATTCCTTTCACCAGCAATGCTATGCGCGCGTGTGTGTGTGTGTGTGTGAGCTTCTTTTGTGAGACCGACTGAGTGTCTGTGGGCCACGCCTCTTGTCAAATGTTTGACAAATTAATTTCAATTGTTTAATGCACTCGGCTTATCTTTCACTTTATCGATTGCCGAGCGACAGCGAAAATAAATTAACAATAAATAATTTTAATTATTTCATGAAGATGTCAAATTACACACACCCACGCAATGAGGCGAAAGCCTAAAAGCCAAGCACCGCCACAGCTCACAACTGTTTGCCATGTGTGTGCCAGGCACAGGGCCCGCACCCGCCCCGATCAGCCACCCGGACCCCAACCCCAACCCGTGCTGGCGTGGAGTGTTGCGATCTTTGCCACTAACTGGCGGCTATTTTGAGGCTTTGCACAGCTGCACAGCGCTCTTTGTATTTATTATTATTTCTCCTTTTTTTATTTATTAAATTTTTGCCAAGGCTTTTAGCGTGCCTATGGGAGTTTGGACAGCTCTAATAGGATTTTGTAAAGTCCGCTGAGCTCAGCCGTTGGATGCAGTGCTGCGTATATATTTTCTCATACTACAAATATTCAATGAGCTTAAAGCCTGCAGTGAAACTTCAATGTTGGCTGTTTGTTGTCTTTGTGGCGCCCTATTTATAGCCAATAGGTCTCACATTACATCTAAAATTCATTTGTTAAATTTGTGATATTACACAAGAAGCTGCCAATGGGCGTGCTACCAACGATTTGTCAATTTATTTCTCTTTAGTTTTTGTCTGCATGCTACAAACTGTGAACTCTGTTGCATTTAATGACCGAGCAAAGAAGCCCAAAAGTGATTATAATCGAATGAGAACTTGAATGAATAGGAGTATGCTCGACTATGGAATACCACAGGTAAGATCTTCAACAAAGTCTACTGAGATTCAATCATATTTTGAAAACTTTTTAATGCCTTGAATGTAGGGAAATGTTGGGATACATTTAAATTTTTTTATATATCTTAATATCGAATCTATGTTTGTTCCATGCGTGTTTGGGCATAAAAAACAACTGGGAACGATGGGGAAATGGCCACACAACCTTTTTTTTATGCATATCTTAAATCATTCTATGTACCATAAAACTACCATATACCCTATATTAAACCCCTTTTAAGCAATCCACGCATAAGAAACATCATAAAAAACGCATAAAAAAACAAAAACTCAAAATATGCCACAGCTGAAACCTCAAAAAACAGCAACAAAAAAGTGGCTGCTGCCTCCTTTGCCATATGCTTATGTTCAATAAATCCAAATGCGGCATATAATCGTGTGCTTATGTATGATATTGTGATTTATGGCCCCATGCTCAGATGATGTTGTTGTTGTTGTTGCTGCTGTTGTCATAAGGAGCAGAAAATTAATATTGAAAAGCTACTAAATCCAGACTTACGCATAAATTAAAACTTAAGTAGGTTGACAGTTGTTGTTGTTGTTGCTTTTTGTTGTTGTTGCTGTTGTTGTTATTTGTACTATTTGTATGCACAATGAAAACAAGAGAAACAGCAACAAAAACAAGCACTGATCACCCTTCTCGCATGCTTTACTCGTAATTTATGGCATCGAAAGCTGGAAATTATTTTGCACATTTTGCAATGCATTTCAATGCGTTTTCGTTTGACATCGTAAATACATATTTGTCAATGCACTTTAAGTCGGGTATAAAAATAAATGTGTATAAAAATAACAACTAAATAGCATATAGCATGATTATATTTATGTGCGCATGCGTGGCACGTACATAGCCCGATGGGGTTGTTTATGAAGTCTAGACGCCCGATTTGGCATATTTAAAATTAGCATATAAAAAATGTGGCAAATGTTATTGGTGGCAAGAAACGAGAAAAATAACGGTAGCAAAGTTCTATGAACTTGCCCGCAGCAGCGCAACTGTCGGCTTTGGCTAATTGAGGGGCACTGGGAGTTGACGGCAGCCGCTTAATGTCAGCTAGTCCGTCACTTTGGCCGGGCCATCGATCAGTCAAGCAATCAATAAGTCAATCATATGCATGAGCAGTCAACAAAGCGCATACAAATTGCCGCAATGTCCGCAGCTTTTATAAGTGCATTACATGCTGCAGTTTAAAAGTTTCGCTTTTCAACTGCAGCAGCGAGCGAGATAGCGAGAGAGAGAGAGAGAGCGGGAGGGAGCAAATAAGAAGAAAATAAAACATGTATCCAATAGATTTATAAACGCATTCGTTTTAAGACGCACAGCGCAGGAAAAGTTTTCAGCCGCGGGCGCATTGGCAGGCAATCAAAGCGACAGACATTAACGCTCCGGCTACGACTCCAACTTGGAGCGTTGTTGGCCACGTACGTTGGCCTGTTAATGCTGCCCATTAACCTGTTGACCCCGGGAATTGACTGGCTGCTGCATTGCGTGGCCAGCTGGTAATGTCTCTCTTTCTCTGTACCTATCTCTCTAGCTGGGGCACTCTTCACGCAAAAATGCGCAGAAGCCAAACGCTTTGTGGGCTGCCATTTGCCATTTATAACAAGTATTGGCCCAGTGCAGTTGCCACCAGCTGTACTCGAATCTGTTGCCAATTTGCTGCGCCACAAACTTTGGTTTGGTAGTCGCCCAATTAATTTCCGCATTTCCCAGACAAACTTGGCAATTAATTTTGGAGTTTGCATTTCTTCAACCTTGTTGCCTGACCTTTTGGCTCAAGTGATTCACGCCAACGCCAACGCCATCCGCCAACCGACATCTCCGGACGTCAGCGTCAGCGTCAGCGACAGCGTCATTTTGGCCTAACGAGAATGCCCAGGCTCTAAGTCGGCAATTAATCAAAGCGCCTTTGGCCGCAGACAAATCCTTTTGTATATATGCATGTAAGCTCGCCAGCACTCGTGCTCGTATATGGCCAAGCAACTGACAACGCAAATGGCCAAAATGACAGCGGGCCCGATCCGCGTCATGAGTCAGCCAATGCGCAACGGTAACATTAACATGCGTTGGCTTTTTGGGCGGCATTTCTTCCAGCCAAATGCTCCGACTGACACAGCCGCCCGACGTGCCCATGCCAAAGGCCACAGACAGCGATGGCTGTTTATTGAAATTAACTTTGTTGCCTATTTATAAGCCCGTATTGCCTAGTAGAGGCAGTTGGCCATGGCAACAGATCACACAATGTCTAATCTCAGATGCAGTATGCATAATCTTGTTTAGTTTGTTAAGATTGCTCAAGAGAACCAAATAGTCCACTACGTCACAAGTTTAGTTAAGACGACCGAATGTGCACGTTTGAACTTAATTATCTACTCAAAAGTCTGTTTGCTGCATCAAGTATTCAAATAACTTGACACTTGGCAAAGTCACAAATGCTTGGAAACAGTGCGAGATGAGTTCAAGTCTCACAAAATTCGCCACAAACTAAGTCGAGCAATTCATAAAAATTATAACAGACAACATTATAATGCGGATTATAATGTTAATAATGTTATTCCTAAAATATAATAAACTGAATCCCAACATATAAGATAAATCGTTCAAATTTCAGAAAAAGATGTCAAAAAGATTATTATTCTTTAGTTGAATCATAGAGACCTCGTCTTACTTAAAATCTAATGAAGGGCTGGATTTTTTTGGTCCAAGTCTATGTCTAATATTTCACACTATTTTATTGCCAAGAAAATCCTGTTTAAAATTATGTGGCTAAATATATAACAAGTCAGTGGTTTCTGATTCTTGGCAGTGGCCTTAAGCTGGATTTCACAGCTAATACCGACAAGTCTTTTAGCACATATTAACATCTGTCAGTTAGCAGGTTAATCCATTGCTTAGCGAGCCCGCATTATTTGTATGCACACTGAATAGCTGAGACAGTACCATAGCGTTGATACCGCTGCCGGCGATTGAGCTGGCGCCGGCCCAGCAGCGTATTGATTTCACGCTCTCGTAGCCAGGGACAAGGACAAGGACGCCTTGTGCAAATACTTGATATATAACTCTCACAATTGACAGTATTCGAGTTGGCTCTTTGACGCGTTTCGATAGCCACTCAACGCGCAGTGATTAGTGTTAGAGCCCAACACATTGCGAGTGCTTCACCTGCAGCTGTTTCAATTGTGGCTGGCTGTGGCTGGGGCAGTGGTGCGTGGTCGGGGCTTTTGGCAAAGGCCAAGTTAATGAAAATATCATTACAGTTTAGCCCAGAGCGTAACAATAAATTTTTGTCTACAGTTTAACGCTCACGTCTGCGCGTGTCCCACTCAGTTTATTGACTCATGAAATATGAGCACTTCTTAGGGTGTGTACACTGTACCGACAGCATTCATTGGCTTAGGCTCAGTCAGAGGCGACTCTTTTGAGGTGCGTGCTAAGCGGGCATTACTCACCAAACGCTCAGCAGCTCAAATTCTGCGCGTGTGCGCCAATATTTGCCTCATCCCGTTGCGCAGAGTGCGGAGCGCCCGTCAAGATTAAGCGCAAGAGCTGCGCAATCGCTGAGCGGCTGCTGTCAATTTGACAAATGCTCAGCGCTCAGCGATTGTGACAGTTTTAGCGGATTCGTAATTAAGCATGCGCGCGCATGCATAAATAGCATAAATACTCAGCCAAAGAAAAGACAAAGCCATGGTATGCCTGTTGATTTTGGCCAAATGCAAACACATGTAGCACTTCCCTGTCCGCTGCCCCGTTTTTGCCGCAGACTGTCAGGATGACAAATTGCGCACATCGAATGGGCTGCTAGCATGGCATTTGCGCATATTAAAATGTTGGCAATGCGAGTGCTGCGGCCGGAGCTGCTGAAGGTAATTAAAATAATGCAGAAAAAGGTGTCAAGGACTTGCGACGTCAAGTGAATTTTAACGCAAAATTGTAGCTGGCGCTGCCGGTTTGTTAGGGCATATCAGCTGCCACTTGGAGTGGCAGGCTGTTATATTTATTCATATGCTATTCCACTTATGTATGGTGATCATTATCATCATGCATATATTAAATAATAATATATTATTTATATTATAAACAATCAATTTTTCGGAATTTCAATTACAATTACGAATAATTTGTAAAATTGAAGTTACACAGCATACTTTATATAAACAAATCTATTAAATAAAAGATTGTTCGGTTAAATGTTTACACTGCGTATGCGCAATTTCTTGTTACTCATTTCGCGTGCGGCGTTTTAGACAGCTGATCACTAATATGACAGCATACGAATCGTATATAGACACGTTTAACTTAAAGTCAAAATACTCACATTTACATATATATACAAATACACATATCTGTATACTTAATCTGAGTCTGAGACCGGCTGAAAACAGTTCAAAACATTTGCATAATTTACCTGTAAAGAAACAACAGACACATAAATTATTTTTGGGAATAAACAAAATAATAAAATAAAATATAAGCACTCGATTTTTAAAATGAATATTTAAACAAAAGCCACACCTTTTGCAATAAATTGTAGACATTTCGCACAGACACACATTATAATTATTTGCACTAAAAAATGATATAAAACTTTAAAAGGCAATGGCAATCGGAATTCACAGACTGCACTCGTCTTGAAGACGTGTGCACTGCCGGCAACTTCATTGACAAATAAATTCGAAATTCGTTTCCCCCAAAAAAATTGAACGCCCTGCAGCGGCAACATACATAACTCGGCATTGGCTTCCTGCACAATATGCAACATTTTGCCGCACGTCCGGATGTTTACAACAAAATAAACAACAGGGCGGGCGGCGCACACAGCGCGCATTCATGTTATTTGAATGCGCACTCATTTCACATCAAAATCGATATTCAATGCACAAAACTTGTTACAATTTCTGTTTTGTTTACTTTGGCAGCGCTTTGTGCACTGATCAAAGTCACATGGAAATTTATTATATAACCCCGTTAACAACATGTAGACAGGGCACCATCCAATAATTGGGCTCAATCAATCAGTCTGTGTACGATTTGATCAATTTAAATTGAAATCGATGCAGCGTTAATCTGCCCATTGACCCAGTTGACTTTAGGATATATCTACTAATATCTATCCAGCTGCTCGAGATAAAAGCAACTGCAGCTACAGGTGAATGCACCCAAAGCAATTCTTATACGCATTCTGTTATTTTGTTTACTAATGAATTCCACAATGGCATACCGCATACCACGAGTGCGCCGAGAGATCTGTTTGAAGAGCTTTGCTTGTAATTGTTCTCTAAATGATTGGGCGAGGCCTTGTCGTCGTCTGCGGTTACGCCATGTGGCTTTTGGGTCGCCATAATGAGGTGCCAAAGGTAAATAAGCTGCACAAATATGACCAAACGATTTTTTCTAGTCGTCTCAATTTTTTTCTTCTTCCTATTTTTCTATCGTCTGACATCTGCAGCGTTCTTTAATGAGCTTTCGTAAATCTCAGACGCGCTTGTTTTGGTAATTAGATTTTTTTTATAGGTGTGCGAGGCTCTTGTTATGCCCTTTAGTAATTAATGATGTATCGGGTATATTGAGTTTCTACATTCATTTGAATTTAAACATTTTGTAAGCTATTAATCCTCACATCTATAAAAATCAATACTCCGTATCGAAAACTTTCGATTTAAATGGTTTTCCTTTTAAAAGATATCATAAACAATATTATATTTAATGGGATTCTTTTTTTTTAAAGGCATAGTTAGTTATTGTTACCTTTTAAATGTAAATAGCAATATATTTCTAACCATATTAAAAAAATGTATATTCTCAAAGGGTATCTCATGGTCTAGCAACTACATTGTATGTAGTTGTTATGTTGTTACAATTGCGTTGTAATTTTAAGTCACAAAATAAGCACGAGTGTATAATCATATGGCAAACCCATCTTAGCTCTACTCTAATTATATTTTTAAGTGTTATTCCAGACAAATGTGAGCTGCAAATGATGTACAACTTTCCCACTGTGGTATCAACTCAGTCATCGCATTCGCACGCTTGCCACACACAACTCGAGTGACACAGACAAACACAGCTGTTGACTCGATTGAAGCTCGCAATTGTTTAGAAATTTCTGCCCCAAAAAAAAAGAAAAAACATATTTCAATAAATACTCGTTTACGAGCTGGGTCAAACCATTTGGCATGACTGCATATTGGGAACGCATCAGCCGAAACCCAATTTGTTTGTTTTTCTGATTTATTTTTTTATTTTAGGCAAAAGCGCTGGCTGCTGATAGAATTGTAACAACTGTCGCCGCATAAATAAAGCGATTTTGATTTATGCTCCTTTGGAGGTTATGAAATCTGTAAGAAGTCTCGTTGCAGTTGCAGTTGCAGCCACAGGCCAAGGAGAACGGGCGAAGCAACGAGTGGCTGCCGTGCCGCATGGATTTGCATGTCTAGCGCCAATAATTCTAAGGTGTGCACTCCGATGATATTTGAAGTGGTTGGCGGTGCGCCGAGATGTCGACGTTTGATATGGCGCGAGGCAATACGACTAAAAGCAATCGCAATGGCAATCGCCAATCTGTGGCCCATCCATCGATGTGAATGTGCGTGGAATTGTAAGTTGTTTTTTTTTCTTTTGCCTTTGCAATTGCAATTAAAAGAAACCACAGCTGCAATCTCTGAGCATGGCTTTTGTGCATGTAAGCGGCGCTTTTCAAAACTTGTGCTGCTTATCAAGCAGCTTGTTGTTGTTGTTATTGCAGATGCAAGAGCCGATTGGCGCGCCGGCACGCAAATAACCAACGCACGCCCAGTTTCAGTCCCAGTCCCAGTCTCAGTCTCACTCCAAGTTCCTGCAAGTGAAAATCATTGTGAGTCACAGGGAGCAGGCTGAGCACAGCCCACAGACAAAAGCCTCATTAGGCGTCATAGTCTGCAACATCTTGCTCTCGAGTCTATGTCTCAGTCTGAGTCTGGATCTGGGCTCGTTTTAATTTCAGCGTTGGCGTTGAAAGCGCGTCGAGCACTCCTTTTAAGTACGTAGTTATAGTCATTGCAGGAGCAGACAGACACCCAACCACTATCAGGATGATAGCCTCATCCTCATCGTCTTCTTCATGTTGGGCCCATGAGGCGAATTATGCTATTTGCGTAAATTATTGTCAAGTGGCCCGGCATGGTAAATCATAGTTGCCAGCCGGCTGATAACTATCAGCTGAGCTGGTTTTCACGCCGATCAATTTGTTTTTCGGAGTGAAATCAAAAGTTCCGTTGACCCACAAAATAAACAAAAAACCGCTTGCGGTCAGCCCGAAATTCATATTTATTTTTGCCATGGCCTATTAAAATATAATACTTTATACATGCGAGTAACTTGTGCCAGATTTTTCTGGTATAGCGCCTGCGCAGGCGCAGAAACAAAGCCAAAGAACATCGGAGCCAACTTTCTTATTAAGAATTATATATGCGACCATAATGAAAAGCCATAAAAAATGATACTTATATGAATGCAGCTACCCCTCGCAGTTATTTGCAATGTGCTGCAGATGGAGTCGGAGTCGCACTGGGCTTCTCCAAATTTGACCCAGAATTGGGAATCGCAGTTGCAGTAATGCGGAAGTGCTTTTTACTGCTCTGCAGTTGCCCGGTTCCAATGGTTCGAGTGGTGCCTTTCGTCGCGTATAAATAAATTTAATGACTCAATTTGTAATGAAAAATGTGCACGGGTTAAGACCCATCTTGTTTGCTCTGCTCAGGATCGGCACTCGTAAGCTCCACTTGCAGAGTTTGCCATAATTTTGCTTAAATTGCGGGTGTCGGCAACGCCTTCGCTGCGGCTCGTATTAATATTGACTTTCTGTCGGTTTTAATCAACAACAGACCGTTCAAAGAGTTGGCATTTCCACTCAATATTACATAAATTATGTAATTCACGGGATTCATTTGCCTTTGTTCTTCGAGCCAAGGACTTTAGAACCCGCGTGATATGCAAATAATTGTTGTGTCTTTGCGTTGACATCACCCATTGAAACTTAAAACAGGTTCAAAACTTGATTTGTTTATTTTTATATATTATCGTATACAATTTTTATTTGTCATACAGCAAAATTCGCTTAATTGCGAATTGTGTTACAAACACGAAAAAAACAACAACAAGCATTTATGGCGACATTCTTTTCAGCTATTTTGACTGCTTTTATTTTTTATGGGCAGAGCAAATGGCAAAAATAAAAAAAAACAAAAAGTGTCAATAGGCCACAGTGCATAAATTTTACTAATTAACATTTATTGTTTGCTGATAGTATAACAACAACAATAAAATAAAAACACAATATCGCCAGGCCATAAGACAGCATTCAATTTGTTTGCCATAAAGTTTTATATTTTCGCGATTTTGCTATTGACAAATGAAACTCGTTGAAAGACACCCTGCCAAAGAGAGAAATATATAACAAATGAGGGAGACTGTCGCTCAAGACTTTTATAGATTTGCTCACAAAAATGTATGTATAGAATATATTAATCTTCGAGATTAAAAAGCCCTTTTTAGACACATTATTAATGTAATATCGATTGATTTCAACTTTTCCATTTAAACATCAATTTCTCTATGGAACGGTTTTAAACTTAACTTTTTCGTAAATGAGAATAAGAAAGATTTTGGTATGGAAACTAAGTTATGTCGCTTCGGTATCAGACTACTAATTATTTAACTCGTAACTGTCAAGTTATGTCATATTTTAACAAAAGGTTCTTTTTAGTTCCTTAGACATATAATAAGTTATCCGATCCGAGCTGGCAACGACTATAAAGTTTATAACATAAAAAGACATAAAGAGACGCTCAGAAGCATATATACTTTATGGCGTTAGAGAATGTTCAAGAGTAAACAAATAACAAAACTCACAGTTTAATCATTTCAAATTAATAATTGTGTCTTAGCAATAGTTTATTTCATGGAATTTGTTCCTGTCTCACTCGTTGATAAGAGCTGGGAGCATGGTCCATGCAACATGTAATCAGCACCCAATCATTGCCCCCAGTCGCAGTCAGTAAATGAAGACTGGCGACGGGTAATTAACCCAGTGCATTATTGACCGTTTGCTCTATAGAAATACAAAATGTTTTATAGCGCACACACAATTTAAAGTTCTTTAAAAGCAAAAAAGGGAGACAAACGCGGAGGCAACTAAGCGGGCTGAGAAACCAAATTGATATGATTGAAGCAAACGCAGTGCGTGTTGTCTGCGTCTTTGTCTTTGTAGCGGTTATTATTATTATTATTGTTGTTGTTTTTTGTTGTTGCTGCTGTAAACAAACTAATTAAAATTGACACTGACAGCTGATGACAATTTACGCAGCTGCTGCTACTGTTAAGGGATACTGAGGCACATTCGAGCTAAGCTCCAAGCGAGCTACGCCTCGG